GTGATGCTTACTGGACAAAGAGTTTTATTAAATAGATTACCATTCAAGAGAGGTCCCAGAACCATTACCTGCTGAATCTGAGACAGCATAACACATATTCATAAGCATGCTGCAAATATGGGGAAGTATACATTTGAAATATATGAAAAGGCTTCAAATAGCATATGTTGTACTAATCCAATCTTTGCTTTATTGAGACATATAACATGATTTAGTGTTTTTATGACCCTCCAAGTTAACTTTGATTTATGACAACTCTTTTGAAGGATTTTATTGGCAAGACTTCTTCAGCCATTTCTTCAGAGAGGCTTCCCATTGTTTTTTCTTTTAGGTTGAGAGAATTTGATTTGTCCAGGATCACCCAACTGATAAGTGAAAATCTGAATTTGGGTCTTTCCAAAGCTCTACCACCTTTTCACATGGGACATGTTTTCCTCTTTGCTTTGCAGCAAGGACGAGGCCTGCCGTGTGCCATCACACAACACACTTCCGGCCACGCCCACTCTTCTCCCAAAGTTGGGGGTGGGGGGAAGCACCAAAAGGCACTTCTTCCAGAAAAGAGTATTTTGTGGAGCTCCAATGCAGCTACACGCACTTTCCCTTCCATTTTTCGTGTAATGAAGGAAAGGGCGGTGCAGCAATAAGCATTGCTGCACCTTGCCCCCTTTCTGCCATCTGATGGGGGGAGGGAAAGGGTTCCAAAGCATCTTCCCCCCATCTCCTATATGTGATGGGGTGTGTGGGGGGGCGCGCGCTATGAGCCGCCCCATGGGCCTTCCTTTTCGCTGGCGATTGTGAAGAGGTTCTTAGTCCAACACACAAACTGACTCCCTCATAACATGACATATTTTGTGCATTTACATAGTTTTCATCAGAATGTTAGAGCACTGCTGGATCAGATGAAAGACTCAAGTAGTCCAGTACTCCATCCTGTAGTGCAACCCATGGATGCCCATGGAAAACCCCAAGGAGAACGTAAGGGCAATAGCACTCTCCAATTCTTCGTCCCCAGCAATTATTTCTGAATGCTGACATTAATACATAGCCATCATGATTGAAAAAACCCATCATCTCCCCTATTGAACCTATCAAAGTTTACAATCATGCCTATATCTTGTACCAATGAACTGCATAGTTGGATGTCATGCTACATGGAGAAAAACTTTCTTTATCTGTCTTGACTATCCACTGCATTTGATTATTACAAAACTGAGGTAATGTTCTCTCTCTAATTCCTCACTTCCTACATAGCTATATAAATTAATACAGATTGAGTATCCCATATCTAGAATTCAAAATAGGGACCTCTTTGCTTTCAGATGATTCTCAGTGGTGGCCCCTCACCTGTGGAACTCACTCCCAGTGGATATCAGGACGTTGACATCACTCCTGTCTTTCAGGAGGAGGGTAAAGACGTGGTTGTGGGACCAGGCCTTCGGGCAATCTGCTAACTAGGTAAGGACAACCAGACAAACAGGACCGGCAGGACGGATAAATGTGGAAGGAAACTCTGAACTATGAGATAGCGAACATTGACCGGCAATAAGGAGTAATTGGTTTGTATCGGTTTGTATGAAAATTTTATTGGTCTTAATGGTTTTAACGGGTATAGATGTAATGTATTGCTGTTGATTGTTAAATTGTGTTATTTGTTTTATTGCTGTGGTATGTTACGGGCATCGAATTGTGCCTTGGATGTGTAAGCCGCCCTGAGTCCCCTTCGGGGTGAGAAGGGCAGGGTACAAGTAAACCAAATAAATAAATAAATAAATAAATGTACATGGACTTTGTTTTATGCATACAACTATTAAATATATTGTATACAATTACCTTCAGGCTATGTGTACAAGGTGTATATAAAATATTAATGTGTTTCATGTTTAGAAGTCCCTCCAAGATATTGCTTTATGTACATATATCCAAATATGCAAATACAGGTATGTCAAAATCTGAAAAGATCTGAATTCCCAAACACTTCTCGTCCCAAGCATTTTGAGTAAGGGATACTCATTTTGTATTGTCCCCACTTAGAGGCTTTTTGAAACGATCCAAATGTTATTCCAAGATTGTGCCACACTTGTGGAAAAATAAGCAAGAAAGAGGAGAAAAATCTGAAGGAAGAGTTTTCATGGATTTACAAATCACATGAAACACACACCATAATGCAAAAGAGTTGAGGCCAGAATCTTCAAGATCGTCCCTTCTTTCTCCCCTATTAAACATTTTGGAAGTAAAGAGATATACCTTGAAAGGGTAAAGGACATGCATAGTCCTATCATCCTAGTCTTTGATCATTAGATGTTCACTTTAACCCAATAAAATTTCAACAAATATTATAAATCTATCTTCTTGGTAGAGAAAGAGCTAGAAATTTGATTTTAACAAATGGAGGGTAGGGTTTATTTCTGTGCATTTTCATACAATTATGAAACATACATATGCTTCAATATTAAAATATTTGCTTTTGCACATTTTGTTTTCTCTTTTGAATGTCTATCATCCCACTTCCATGTAGTCACTTGTACATTACTCCTTTTAAAGGGTTTTTGGATGATATTAAGACTAGGTATAAGTAAAATTAAATAATGATGTAGACTAAAGTAAACTTAATCCAATGGTGTCTTATTTTAAGATTTTAAGGTAGGATAGAGCAGTGGTTCACAAACTGTGCTCTGTGGAGCCCATGAAACAAATTGAGGAAGACCCCACTGCCGAAGCCCACAGTGTGCAGAAGAGGCAGAAAGAGAGAGGAGGGGGCAGGCAGGCAGAAAGAAAAAAAGAAGTATGAAAGGAAATAAACAAAGAAGGAAGGGCAAGCAGCAGGCAAACAGAAGGTGAGAGAGGCAGACAGGAGACAGGCACATGCTCTTGGGAAGGCAGTGAAGCGCTTAAAGGCACAGGGCAAGGATACTGCAGGCTGCATGGAGTTCGTGGCAATACATACAATACTTCAGTGGTGTGCAGAGGACGAAGCCCTGGAAGGGCTGCTTGCCTCCCAGATCCTTTCCCCTGCACTCCCACACTGCTGAGACATTATTATTTAAAAAGCTGAGTGGCCATCTGTTCAGGGTGCTTTGATTTGTGCTATTCCTGTACAGCAGCAGGGGATTGGACGGGAGGACCCCTGGGGTCCTCCACTGAAATACTGTTAAGTTTATGTTGGTTAAAATTGTTCTTCATTTTAAATATTGTATTGTTCTTTCTTTTTGCACTACAAATGAGATATGTGCAGTGTGCATAGGAATACGTTCAGTCTTTTTTCAATTAGTTCACACAAACACTTTCTATCTTTTTGCTACTGGCTCAGCCCATTTGTCAAATTTTAAAACGCAATGCATATGTCCAAAAGTTTTTCCATGCCTGATACACGCACACACACACTATATATATATATATATATATATATATAATACATAATATATAAACATTTGTTGGGGCTCCACAAGAATCTTTTCCTTCAAAAAGGGCTCCGTGGCTAAAAAAAGTTTAAGAACCTCTGTTCTAGAATATTTGTAAAAAAAAAATTATCAGAGGGGATTGTGACACTGGCAGGGCTCATTTAATGAGGCATTAACATTCATGCACAGAACATAATAAAGGAACACATCTCAAAAATGTACCAAAAGTTATTTTGGGTACAAATTAGAGACAAAAGAATTGAGAAAGTCTCTGACAGTGTATGAACTGAGCAACATTTGGGGTAAATTTATTCAATAAAATTTCTAGACTTATACATGAGTATATATACAGTAATACTTTAAGAAATGTCAAAGACAGAGATTTTAATTAATATGGAACACATGTTCAGGAGCTTTAATTAATATACCTTCCACACTCTGAGCAGACAACTAATCCAAAAAAGCTATAACAAAAGCCATCCAAGGAAAGAGAGTGTGTTGGCAAAGGCAATGAGCAAGGAGATTTACTTCTTCCTCACGAAACCTGTCAAGTTATGCTGTGCCATTATTTTCCTTGCACATCTTGTCTACATTCATCATATTTATCGGAAACCTGGGCTGCCAAGAGCAGATGTTGGCCCACTTGCACAGGTGCGGCCTCATGGGTTTGGTCAAGGTATGCTGAAATAGCTGAGAGGTGGATATGATCTTGTTCTTTTAGCTGATTTATGTCTGAAACTTCTTGCCAGATGAGGATGAACAAATACATGTGAGTATAATTTAAAGACTATTCAAAAGATTACATAATGCAGTTTGGCCATGTTTAGAATCTTCTTCCCAACACGCCTTTCACTCCTGCAGTTGTGCTGCTTTGACAGGGATAAAGGGATTGAGTTTTTATTTCTTTCAAATATAATTTTTATGCTTACAAAAACAGAATCCAAGGGTGCTATTATTTCAAAATAAATTAAAAAATACAGTAGTTGCCAAAAACTGATATAAACATTATGATGAGAGGGGGGGCCCTGGAAAGCTGGGAGATTATCTTTATACTTGCTATGTTGCTGTTAGTTCCTTGAACTTGACTCTGACTTATGGCAATCTTATCCTAGAATATGTGGGTTTTTTTTGTTGCAAACTTGCTTCAGAAATAGTGGGATTTGGGGTGGGGGCATTTCAAGTCTAATGGAGTCTTTTGATAAAAGGAATTTTGCATTTTTTGTTTTTGCAAAAGCAAATAATTTACCTTTTCAGAACTTTTTAAAGGAAATTTATTATTATTATTATTAAAAATGTATACCACACATTTCTACCAAGATGACATTCCAAGCCAGCCAGAAAGTTTATTGTGTCTTCCAGTAATCTATATTATATGAGTATCACTGCATTGTCTCCAAAGATGGGCAACCAGCTGACTGAGATTCCAGCATAATTTTTGGCAAGGTTTTGGCAACTTTTCAAATACAACTTCCAGTTGTGCACTACAGCCCCCAACCAGTTATTTTATTACTTATTAATAATTTCTACAGCATTTACACGATACTGAAGGTACCACATGAAAAGGTAAAAAGGATCACCTAATACTCTATGAACTCAACTCACCCATCTTCTATTCGGACCCATAAGTCATTGAACTGTCTTTGGCGGTGGTTTTTATACTGCTTCTTGTGCCACTTCTTTTGCCGTCCAAACTCCTCCAGCTGACTGATGCTGTCTGGGAGAAGAAGGTGTGGAGAAATGCTGTCTTCTTCACTGGAACCAGGAAGAATTGAAGAAGCAGGTGGGTGTTCAAAAAACTGTAGAGTAGGTGCAGCTGTTGCATAGGAACCTCTTGAGGAGGGATTGATGTTTGTCCTGGAAAGCCAAAGAAGTTGTATATGAATCACCAAGTAAGAAAAATCCAGATATTATTGCATTGATTCATACAGGCAGTATAGTACACAGTATGCATTTTATGCATTTGCAAAGTTGCTATCGTGGCTGATGTCCTATATAGCATCATTCATAGTATGGAACTGAATACAAAGTGCCAAGACATGTTGGTTCCATCTCTTTTTTCTTTTGCCCTGGCCACACAAACTAGCTCTGAGAAAATATAACTCAGAGCTCATCAATCAAGAACATTGATAAGGGAATCAAGTAGAAAAAATCCTACTTCTGTTAACCGTAGTTGAACAAGGAATGAACTGCTTTGGAAGGTCCTTTGGAGATCAATGCAAACCAAATACTCTGTGTTTGTGGAAAGGAGGTTAGATCTAGATACTTCCAAATTCTATGAGTCCCTCCAGAATGTTCTTTAATGAAGAATATTTTTTGCCTCATTAAGTTTGATTGTTGGTAATAGCGAAGAATATTTTAAGCCCCAGGCCATCATTTTTGACACAATGAGAAGCAATGCCAACCATGAGCTAATCATGCTGCACAGATTCTCCTAAAACTCATAATGGGAATATTTGTCAGTTCAAGATATTTGAATACATCCATCTTCTGTCCACATTTTTTTGTATAAAACTCATGTAAGCATGAAAAAGGTTGTCACATACTCTACTGCTTAACTTTTTTTATCCTCGCCTTTCAAATCTTTTTGCAACAACTGTTAGCATTTGGAAAACAAATATGCTTGCTTGGTAAATCCTTTAACTTTTCATCTCTTGGAACAACTATCTCTCAGACACTGTAAAAGAGGAATGTGTATGATGTTTTTGGGGGCCATCTTGTTTGTCTATAAAAGATACTAAAATATGCAAAAATGAGCAATTTTTTTTACAAAGAAACCAGAATGCTTCATGGTTTATGAAAGTCCTTTAAAGTCTGCCTGCATCATGAAGGGAGTCTAGTATCTTTAAACAGGCAATAATTCTGAGAGTAAACAACTCCCACAGAAAGACCTCTTATCTATTGTTGTAACAACAACATTTTTCTAAAATAAGGAAGAGGTGAAAATCCCAATAGGAGCAGGGATCCATATACTAGATTGGAGGAATGCTTTATTTGCTTCATTTTATCTGAGAACCTAAACACCTCTCAAATGGACATACTCCTCACAAACCATTGCCAAGTGTAACAAGATAGCACTTCAAGCTGTCTGCAGATTCATCCATTTTATTCATGTGGATAGAACTCGTGCTTGAAATCTATGACACATAGAGAAAGGCACAAGCCAAATATACAGTCTAATCCAGTATTAGATCTGGTCCTTGTTTGTAATAAAAAGGTTGGAATAAAAAAAGAGTAAGAGGGATCATGGCAATTATTGGTAAGGCAAAGTCACATTTTTCAATGCAAATTGTGTGAATTGACATGACTGGTGTGCTCTAGCTTGAGCTACTGGCTGAAACCGTACATCAAAGTGTAGCTCTCCTTGTATGTATCGTTCTATGTTTTTCCTGTGCCCTGGCAGCTGTCAGGCCTCAAGGGAGGCTGCTGGTTGCTTCTTATCTATGGGGAAGCGAAGGAATGGGAAGGGAATTCAGACTATAAAGTAGCAGCTGGATTCAACTCAGTGAGTGAGAGAAGTAGAAGTGCAGTCATGGGTGGAGAACATCTTTTTTTTTCTTTCTCCCAGGAGTCAGGAGCAGATGCATCTTCATGATCTGAATTGCTTCCCCCTACCTACTTTTCTCACTGGCAAGAAGCAGCAAGTGCTACTCCTTGAAATTAAAAGCTGCTGGTGAGTGGGTGAGGGTAATAAATAGAGCACCAAAAATACCCCCATGCTGCATCAAAGAAGACTTTTATGCATTCATTTCACTAACAGGGTGCTCTACTTTATGTTCTACTACCAAGAAATCACAAATCACAGCAATGCCATTTTACACTCCTATTTTATGTTCTATCCCAATTTCTCGACCCACCCCCAAATACCTTTGTTTCTAAGCTTTGCACCTTGGAGGAATGACTTGTCAGGATTTTATGAGTGTGAACTTCTAGTCTTACCTCTCTCCCCAATATCCCCAGATGTGAAATCTGAGATATGGTGCTGATAGATACACCATATCTCAAAGAGCACCCACAAATTTTCCTGAGCAGAAACCAAGTTTTTGTGCAAACATTTCTTTCAGTAGCAAGACTGAAAAATAATCAAAATGAGCAAGAACCTGACAACTTGAAATCCTTCATCTTGCACAAAAAACCAATTAGATGACGATTTATATCCCCGGTCTCTGATGCTCTTATGTATAAATGTGTTAGCAAAAACTTTAGGCCCTGCACAGAAGAAGGAACATGATATCCCTTCCCCTACCATAACTGTTTTGCTCACATGTAGAGTGAGGAGAGGACACCCTCCACTAACCACACTCTTCATGAAAACAGAAATGCTATTTATTTATTTATCGTGCCAGAAGCAAACCAAAACACTTGAATTGCATTAAAAAACAGACAAACAATCAAACACAAAGTTTGCAGACTTGGTATTCTATTAAATGTCCTTTGACCAGTAACTGGCCACTTGGAGTGTCTCTGGTGTTGCCGCAAGAAGGTCCTCCATTGTGCATGTGGCAGGGCTCAGGTTGCATTGTAATAGGTAGTCTGTGGTTTGCTCTTCTCCACACTCGCATGTTGTGGATTCCACTTTGTAGCCCCATTTCTTAAGGTTGACTCTGCATCTCATGGTGCCAGAGCACAATCTGTTCAGCACCTTTCATGTCGCCCAGTTTTCTGTGTGCCCAGGAGGGAGTCTCTCATTTGGTATCTATTAGGTAAAATAGATGTATAAGCAGGGAACATTTTAGCTAGATTTATGTTATGTAGTAACCTCTGGAAGTATAAGACTTGAAACTGATTGTATCTTTGTAACTTCTAAGCCAGTGTAGCATATTGGACTTCGAGGGCCAGGGTTCAAACTCTTGCACATCCAGGTGTTTTAAAACACCACAGGACAGGGAAAGGATTCAGAAGAGCTAAAAAGAATACAGACTCCAACAAAATGTAGCAGGAATGCATGATTTGCTTTTGCTTCCTTAGAGAGTAGATATTTTCTTTCATGGAATATTGGATGGTATATTTCTGAATACTTTCGGGGAAAATGTTCTGTAGAATATGAAATTAGAAACTGAGTAAGCAAGTATTATGTATTCAGTTCCAGTTACATGTTGTTAAATATTTTTAGTCCAAAATGTCACCATTGATTAATCAACTAAATAAACAAACTTACATAAAATTCATCATCAGATCACTCCAGAAAACAAGTTTAATAGCACTTCTACTCCCCAAGATTTAAGCAATTCAAATTTCCCTATCCACTTCAACTTTTGTATCATTCATCTGCACTCAAATGAAATCTTAATAACGGATAATGCTGTGTTCCCCAAAGAGATCAACACTTCATCTCTCTCTAGGTTCATGTGGTCTTTTCTTCATGCTCAATCAAGGTGAAGTAGTAGATGCATCACGCCTTTGTTCTTTCTTTCGTCCGTCCACACATCATAGAATGAGACATCTTTTCCAGGAAGTTGGGTTCCTCTTTCTTTTTTCCAGTAAGAATCTTTCAGTCTTACTCTTTCAGCTTTCTGTGGTCTTCAGTCTCTTCTACCTAACTTTCCACTTCCTACCAAATGAAAATGTAGATGCCTACATTTCTACTCTACTCCTCCAATGGGTTCATATTCGGGAGTAACTTGTCTCTTCAAGAGCCAGAAATTCTCTGTCCATTTGCTTTTTACAAGGTCAGCACTGCCCATTGCTTATTTTGGTCCCCATTCCCCCAGTCACCATAATGATGACATATAAGCTCTCACGCAAAGATATTGAAAGAACACAAAGATTGAAGGAAGAAAAAAAGCAAGGTTTATTAGAAAACTGGGTCTCAATTATTCCCTTAATTTGAGGGTGTTGCATTCATATCCCTAATCCAGAAACCTGGGAAATATATTTTTCTTACTTCATTTTTCAACACATAAAGTTTAAAAAATCTACCTGCTGAATGAAATTCTTGCATAATTTTAGTGGGGGGTTTTTTGTTTTACAAAAATGCAAAAAATGTGGGTATTTTGCACAAAAATGCATTTTGCACACAACTCTCATGCAGGAACAATTATACTTTATTTGAGACCTCCTTTTTCATCAAGAATGAGGAAATCTGTAAATATCCTAGGTTCCCCAGTACAACATCGATAGATTCTTGGGCTGGAAGTCCTTTATTTCAATAGGGTTCACTATATCAATGCATATCTATGGATACAGGTGTTGAAGTATACACATGCCAGCTTGGAACTCAGCCAAGCTTCTTTTTTATTTTAGCTAACCCCAAATTTAAAGGCATTTCAGTGTGGACATGTTATTTCTGAAATGATCTCATATGCTGAACCTCCTTTTCAAAATTATGCTTAAAATGTGTGACAACGCAGTCAATAAATGTGAAAACATCTGCACTATATCACTGCTTTTAACACAGAAATGGCTACAGGCCATGAGCTATAACACACTGCAATTGTCATCCCACCCACAGGCATCTAAGAAATATTTTCATGTTTAGAAACTGTGCTGTTTGGGGATTTTATTCATTGAGGACATATATCAAGGATGCAAACATCAGAACTAGATTTAAGGCTTTCTTTTTAAAAAGCCAAGGGAGAAATAGGTTTGTGTGAATAGGACCAATGTTTTATAATATTTTATCCCCCACCCCAAGAACAATACTTTAAGTTCTTTTACTCTTTAAGAAAACCCCATTATGCAATAAAGGAAACATTGAGAAAATGAAAACCACTTGTGGTGTCCTTCCTCGGAGCATATTATGTCACTCAGGAAACATCTTCCTTGGCATGTGCATGTTTGTTTTTTTATTGGAGATTTGCTTGTTTGCCTGGAAATGCTTTATCCCTGTGCCAGGTGTTTGAGATGGTATCTTGCCT